AATAACTACTAAAAATATATTAACTTAGTCAATAAATAGTATAATCTCAAATAATAGTTTAATCTCTAATAAGTATTAATCAATAAGTTATAACAAAAATACAATAAATACAATAAGTACAATAAATTAAATTTAAAAATTTCATTAATAGTAGTTTAATTTCCAATAATTATTGAAAGTTTTCTATTAAATAACAAAACAAAATAAATTTATACATAATCATTGAAAATACATTTATAACAAAAACAATAAATAATTACTGAAATACAATAAATATAAATTTTAGTATATATAATTATATAATAAATATAGGTTAAGAGTTTAAAACAACTATTAATAAACATTAATTTTTTTGAAAGTTATTTTCTCAAATTATTACTTGATATAAGTGAAATTATTTATTTACAATATTATGTAAAAATACTAAGTTATTATTAATTTGAATATTATGCTATAATTATTTTTCTACTTTTTAGATATTTTTTAAATTTATTACATGATTTCTTTATTTTCACTATTCAAAATCTAGTTATGTTAAATATTTTGTTATTTAAAATACCCAGTTATTTATTTAAATACATAAATAATTTGTAAAATATTTATATTTTAAAATACTAGTTATTTATGGAATTTAATTATCCATAAAATCATAATTCATACTATTATTACATAATTTCATTTTTTATTTAGTAATATATTAAATTATTATTAATTTCAATATTATGTTATAATTATTTTTTTACTTAAATGAAAATTTGAAATTTGTTACATAATTTTGTTTTTTTAACTATTTAAAATCTAGTTATTTAAATATTTAAATCTTCTATAAAATATTTAAAATTTTTTGTTATTTGAATTTTATTTTTTTAAAGATATTACATATTATTAAATATTTGAAAAACATTTAAATTGATGATTTGGAGAAACATAATTTAAATTGTTAGTACATAATTTCGTGTTATATTTTGTAAAAATATAAAAGTATTTATTCGGTAATTTTGTTATTCTGACTATTTAAAATATAGTTATGATAAATATTTAGTTATTTAAATATTTAAATAATCGATAAAATATTTAATTTTTTGTTATTTGAATTTTATTTATTTAAAGCTATTAAATATTTGAAAATATTTGAAAATCATTTAAATTGATAATCCAAAAATACATAATTTAAATCGTTAGTACATAATTTCATGATATATATTTCAAAAATATAAAACTATTTTTTGTGTTTTTAAAGATTATTTTAAAGTTATTATATAATTTTATTAAAATATTTAAATAATTATTAAATTTTTTAATCCAAACTTTCTTTAGATAGATATAGATAAAAAGTAGGGGAGAAGATAAATAGGAATTAGAGATAATTTAGGAGAGAAGCTCTCATTGATTGTTTCAAAAATGACATGGAATAAAAAAAAACAAAAAATTCAAAAAAGGAGAAAATTTCTTGACCTCTTTGTTTTAATATATATATATATAGATAGATAGATAGATAGATAGATAGATAGATAGATAGATAGAAAGATAGATAGATAGATTAATAATTATGAAATCAGTAATAATAATAAGTATATTATTATTACTATTATCTACTAATAATATATTCTTATTATGTGTGTATTGATTTTGAAATCATTAATATTAAATTATTATTATTATTATTATTATTATTATTATTATTATTATTATTATTATTATTATTATTATGAAATAATTAATTTGTTATAATTATGATTTTTAGTTAATTCCTGAAATAACAATAGCTTTTATATTTCTTTTAGTTTAACAATAATGGATAATTGAAAGTTTATAATTTAACTTTAACCAAATGAAATATTTAGTGGAGAATAATAATAGTATTAGTTATAATTACTTATAATAGTAATGCTGTAAATAAGTAGCACTAATTATATATTTATAAAATAATTAATATGAATTAATATAAATATAAAATGATTTTATCCTGATTAATAATTAACATTATTAAAATACTTATTAATTAATATTCCAAAGTAATAATTATCATTGTTATAATTAAGGAATTAATTATCAGTAATTAAATTTTATTATAAATCATTATTATTAGTAATAAATAATTATAATTATTGATAATAATAATATAAATATATAATTATATTAATTATTATTACTGATGATAATCATATAATTATTTATTTCATATAAATGCATGAATTATAATTTCTGATAATAATTCTAATATAAATAATTAACATTAAATATTTATTTTTAAAATAATTAATATGAGTTAATATAAATATAAAATGATTATTTTCAAATTATTAATTACCATTATGAAAATCGTTATTAATAATCATTTCGAATTAATAATGAGAAATATTATCAGTAATTCAGTATTAGCAATTATTATTATAAGAAATTATTATTAATTAATTATTATCAGTGAGTTATTATTATTAGTAATTAATAGCTGAAATTAATTAATTAGAAGTCATTAATTATTATTAGTATTCCTCTCTTTCAAAAAGTTGACTCATCATCATCGTCATCATCATTGACAACAACTTGATAAATACATAATTTGATAAAAATAGGTAAATATCATTAATTTATTTTTTTTATCTTTAGAAAAACTGAATAAGAGAAAAGAATGGTTAGCATTGCGAATGCAATATTATTTGTATTTTTGCAAAAAAAAAATATATTGAACCTAAAAAACCAATTATTCAAAAATAAGGTTGTTAATAAAAATGTTTTAAAATTACTCAGTAAATAATAATTATAATAAGTTAAAATTATTAATTAATTATCTATCTGAATTAAAATAGATAATTTCAGCAAATAATTTTAAGTAAATAAATTTTTCTATTAACATTTTTTAATAGTAATTAGTATTATTATTAGTAAATAATAGTTGGGATTAATTGATTTTAGGTAGTTAACAGTAATTAATTAGTAATTAACAATAATTGTTATTAGTAATTAATAGTTGTAATTAATTAATTAAAAGTAGTTAATAGCTGGAATTAATAAATTAGTTTAGTAGTTAACATTAATTAATAACATAGTTTCCTTTTTTTTAGGAAAATGATTGAAAGCGGGAGTTTCCCACTTCTCACAACTTTGCATGGTGGTAGGCTCCACTCTCCATGTTAGTAGGCTCTTTTCTTGAACTACCACTAATTAAAATTTGACACGTGTCCATCTTTGTTTAAATCTTTGGAATGACAGGTGTTTGAATGTAAATAAGCCCATGTCTTACTATAGGGAGCTTTGGCCTGAATATGTATATATAATATATATATATATATATATTAGATGTGCGTGTGGAATGGGATAGCCCGACTAGTTCAGCTTCGACCTTTCCGTCTAGATCTGCTCCTCACAGAGCGCTCCTTGTAAGAGTGTCAATGGACCGGTTTTAGATTGAATCCATCCAAACCAAAATCAATTTTGATGGATTGGATGGACCAATAAGATATATTGAACCGGACCAGTCCAGACTCAATGGATCAGGTTTGGGTTAAAACCAATCTAAACTAAAATAAATTTGAACAGATTGAACGGTTTAGACATTGAATTGGATTGATCCAAAATAATTATTAATTAGATTGGATTGGATATGGTCCATTTGTAATGGATTCACATTGAACTGGATTGGATTGTACCAAAAATCTAGTCCAATTGATACCCTAACTCTTTGTACCAACCAACCTCACAATATGTTCTAGCCATACATTGGGAACATTTCCTTACTCATGGAGATATTCCTTTATACACAGTAGGATATGGCTGCATGGTTTTCAAAATCAGACCGGACCGGATGGTTAAACTGGAAAAACCGAGAACTGGTCAGGTGACCAATTCTATTTTAGCCCAAAACCTTTATTTCCCCAAAATCATTGATTTGGTCAGCAAACCGCTGACCCGGGCCGGCATTCAAACCATTCAATGATTTAGATGATTTTATTTTTTTTAATCTTTTATTTTTTGTTAGAACGAACCGTCTATTCAATTTAAATGATCAGATCATTCGATCCAAGAACCGAACCCCTAACCAGTTCGTTGTTCGGACGCTGTGACATCGGTGTGGGAGCAGATCCCAATTCTATCAATGAAGTCAAGGTCAATTATCAAAATAAAAAGAAAAACAATCAAGGTCAAAGATAAAATCATAAAAAAGACGTGAGATCAATGCTATATTACTGGGTCCAATCAACATGAAAGGAACACTGAATTAGTTTCTAGTGGACTAGATTTTCGTCAAAGTCAAGGGCAAGAAGAAAAAGCCAAGGCCAACGGGACTGGATTTCACCATCTGCCGCCCTTCAGGAATATAACCGCACTTAAATCGTAAAAGATAGTGAACTCATCAATATAAGTCAAATTGAGATATGGACATAAAGTTTTATGGGTTCTACTATAATATGGAAAGGATATGATATCGAAAATACAACTTAGATTTTCCCAAGTTATATATAATATATATATATATATATATATATGGTAAATAACATATGAAAGGGTCTTTGGTCAAGCTTGTTCCATTGATTGATTTGGCAAATTAATAATTTTCTACTAGTGGCGACTCGGCAGTCAGTCAACAGTCTGATCGCATCAAATAAATTAAACCGTGTCAACAACAGTATTGTCTTATCAATCACTGTTGGGTCGACAAAGAGTCTGGGTTTGTGAAATTTATTTATGATATGCTTGTGTAGTTGTAGAATTTGTTTGGGACTTTGTCCTTTTGACAAAATTTACTGTAAAAGCAAACATCACCAAGTTTTGATGATGTAATAACTTTGATTTCATGGCCTAGCTAGAGAAGGAACTTCAATTTGAACTGTTCTCGTCTGCTACATGGGCGCGGCCATGAATTTGGCCATAAATAAAATTAAAAAAAAAAAGAAGGTTCAATTTGAAATATTCTTTCCCATCAGCATCTACCTCAAATTAAAGTTCTCTATAAATCCCTTTGCTAGCTACTTTCTTGTAGAGCTATAATATTACAGTACCCCAAATTCCCAATCGACCAGATGCAATGATTTGCCTCTTAGATATGCATTCCATGGTATGTTTATCATTCCAATTGAATGCTCTTCTTCTATGGTCTGCATGGATCAGCTCACTGCTTTCTGGGTCTTTCATCATCAACACTGCTGCTGTCACCACCAACACCCCATTGGGTGGAAGTGAAACAGATCATCTGGCACTGCAAGCCTTCAAGGCTAAGATAACTCAAGATCCTTTTGGGGTCATGGCCTCATGGAATGATTCTCTCCATTTCTGCTTCTGGGAAGGTGTTTCATGCATCAATCCCCAGCATTCACCAAGGGTTGTAACCTTGGATTTACAATCAAGTGGCTTGGTGGGGTCAATTGCACCAGAAATAGGAAACCTCAGTTTCATCAGGCAAATTTGGCTTCGAAACAATAGCTTCCACGGCGAAATCCCTCAACAAATCGGTCGTTTGTTTAGGATACAAGTTTTGGTGCTCAGCAGTAATTCACTAGAGGGACAAATCCCAGGCAATTTGTCTCGTTGCTCCAACCTCAAAATTCTCAGTTTAAGTTGGAACAATCTTACAGGTAAGATACCAACTGAACTTGGCACTTTACTGAAGCTTGAAGTTCTTAGAGTTCAAAACAACAATCTCATGGGAGAGATCCCACCTTCTTTGGGCAATCTTTCATCCCTTGTCAACCTCACTGCTCAATATAATAGTTTGGAGGGAGGTATCCCAGGTACCATAGGCCGTTTACAGAGATTACAAATGCTTTTGCTGGGTGAAAACAGACTCAGTGGCATGGTTCCTCCCTCTTTGTTTAATCTTTCTTCCCTCATTAATTTTTATGTTGAAGGTAACCGATTGAAGGGTAATCTTCCACATAACATAGGCCTTACTCTTCCTAATATCCATGAAATTACTCTTGGAGAAAACCAGTTTACTGGGACCATTCCAGTTTCATTATCCAATGCTTCTAAACTCGAATGGTTGCAATTGAGAAATAACAGTTTTATTGGGAGGGTGTCTATTGATTTTCGAGGCTTACACCGGCTTAGAGTGTTAACTTTGGGTTTGAATTATCTGGGAAGTGGAGAAATGGATGACTTAAGTTTTATCAACACCATGACCAACTGTAGTATTTTAGAGGGAATTGGCCTGGAAATGAATCAATTTGGGGGGTTCTTGCCCAGTTCTCTAGGAAACCTCTCAACCCAATTCAGTGAATTAACTCTAGGATCAAATCAGATTTCTGGAAGCTTCCCATCAGGGATTGAAAACTACGTAAACTTAGTTACGCTTGGATTAGAGCAAAACATTTTCACAGGTGAACTTCCTTCTTCCATTGGAAAGCTCCAACAGTTAAGCACCCTTTCACTTGGTGGGAACATGTTTTCTGGACAGTTGCCATCATCATTGGGAAACTTAACACGGCTGTCTATACTTGGTTTAGAAATGAACAACTTCAGTGGTAGCATACCTCCATTGCTGGGAAAATGCCATTATCTGCTAAGCTTGGGGCTTTCTCAAAATACTCTTACTGGGTCCATTCCTCGAGAACTTTTTGATCTTTCCTCCAGTTTAATTACGCTAGATCTATCTCAAAATCGTTTGGTAGGTTCTCTACCTTCAGAAATTGGCAAATTAACATCTCTTGGAGTGCTAGATGTTTCTGAGAACAGGTTGTCTGGTGAAATTCCCAATACTCTGAGTAGTTGCACAAGCTTAGAGAACATGTTAATGCAGGGTAACCACTTTTCTGGATCCATTCCTACGTCCTTGAATTCATTAAGAGGTCTTGAATACTTGGATCTTTCACGCAACAACCTATCTGGTCCAATTCCAAAATATTTGCAGGAACTTCGCTTCTTACTGAATTTAAATCTTTCTTTCAACAATCTTGAGGGTGAGGTACCAACAAATGGAGTATTTGGAAATGCAAGCGCAATTTCAATTGTTGGAAATAATAAGCTTTGTGGAGGAGTTTCTTCCTTAAAATTACCAGCATGTTCCATCCAGACATCAGAGAGAAAAGGAACAACTCATCATTCTTTCAAGCTAGTGCTTTGCATTACAATAGTTGGTGTAACACTATGCCTCATTTCGATCTCAATTCTTCTTATCCTTTTCCTGAAAAAAAGGCAAAAAAAGGAGCATTCTTCTGAATCTTCAGTAGGGAATCATCATTTAATGATCTCCTATGAAGAACTTCTGAAAGCAACTGGAGGATTCAATTCCAGTAATTTGATTGGTGTGGGTAGCTTTGGCTCTGTGTACAAAGGAACTCTGGAACAATGTCAAACAATTGTTGCAGTCAAGGTAATAAACCTTCAACAACGAGGAGCTTCCAAAAGTTTCTTAGCAGAGTGTGAAGCATGGAGAAACATTCGACATCGAAATCTTGTGAAGATCATAACATCCTGCTCAAGCGCTGATTTTAAAGGCAATGATTTCAAAGCTGTAGTTTACGAATTCATGTCCAATGGGAACTTAGACAAATGGTTGCATCAAGAAGAAATAAACCATGACCAAGTTGAACCAAGGAGGCATTTGAACATTCTTCAAAGATTAAATATTGCCATTGATGTTGCATCTGCACTGGATTATCTTCATCACCATTGTCAAGTGGCAGTCATTCATTGTGATCTAAAGCCAAGCAACATTCTTCTAGATGACAATTTGACCGCACATGTAGGTGACTTTGGTCTATCTAGATTCCTTTTGGAAATGAGTAAAAGATCATCTCTGAGTCAAAGTAGCTCTGTTGGAATAAAAGGATCTATTGGATATGCTGCTCCAGGTAAAAATTAAGTTCTCATTGACTTGAAATGATCATAACATACATGCATGGTTATAGTTTCAAAGCTACTTTTCTTAATCATGGATTTTCTCCATGAAAGCTTAACGAAATTTGTTTGAATTACAGAGTATGGTGTGGGTGCTGCTGTGTCAACCCATGCAGACATGTACAGCTATGGTATTCTCCTTCTGGAGATGTTCACAGGGAAGAGACCCACCAATGAAATGTTTAAAGATGGCTTAGATCTTCATAACATAGCAAAGATGGCTTCGCCTGATAAAGTGTGGGAAATACTCGATCCATCATTACTTTTCTCTCAAGGGAAAGACGGGGAAGAGGAAACAGAAGTAACAAATGCAACAGAACAGTGCCTCATTTCAGTAGTTAAAGTTGGGGTGTCATGCTCCATGCCATCACCAAGGGAACGAATGGATGCACGAGAAGCAGTCAAAGAATTACAGTTAATCAGGGAGATTTATCTTGGACTTCGCACCCATGGCACAAATGAGATGCAGTGAAGAGTTGCCCCATTGCTAGCTCTAATGTCATGCTGTAGTTAATTTATGTTAAGTTACTTCTACCTTTTGTTGGGTGGGTCTTCCTACTGTACTGTGGTGTCTTGTTTTTTTCTTAAGCCCTTACTGTGGTGTTTAAAGTATCAAAATTTGGCCATTTTATTGATTGCCCCACCCCAAAACTTTTTATAGGATTGCACACATGGGAAAGATAGGTCAGACAATCTATCCAAAACCAAGTACAGTGTACTTATTAAAGGGGATAAGTAATCTGAAATGGCAGCCCCTGCTAGTGTATTAATAGCCCCCCTCCCCCCCCTATAAACCGCATCCTGTCCATGAATTTGGCATCAATCCACGGGTAGGATTCAGTCCACCCTAAAAATCTTAGCTTCACCCCAAAGTTTCCTTAATATTCTTACCTGAATTATAGTCTTGGAAATGGAGAAAGTTTGTGTTTTGCACATGAACTATGCACAATTGTGTCACTACTATGTGCCACATTAGACAACCAAAGTGGAAACACTCCCTTGTGGAGAGGAAAATACAAAAAAAGAATTAGGCTTATAAATAGTGTTGAATAGAACTTTCACTTATTAGTCTCTACAATATTATTTGCAAAATCATTTAAAACAATCTTATTAATTGCATTAAACCTCTTCTACATAATATCCTTTCTTCTTTTTAAAGCGCCTTTGTTCTAAATAAACAAATCACTGGCAATATTCTTATTGCTCATGAAAAAAGAAAAGAGGTAAATCCAACATCATGACTTGTAAGATTGACATGGAAAGACATATAATAGTTCAGAATGGGAATTTATTGAGAAAGTCATGCATAGATTTGGGTTATGGAATGTATTAAGATTATTTCATTCCATCTTTTGATGGAATTTTGTACATATAGAGGTGTAAGACAAGGTGATTCTCTTTCTCCATAAATTTTTGTTTTGTGTGTTGAGGCACTGACAAAGAAGTTTGGAAAGGAGGTTAATTGCGACGAGAGATTGACTGGGTGTAAAGTTTGTACAGGTGGCCCTATCACTTTGATCCAACGATTTGTAGATGATTGCTTAATTTTTTTTTTTTTTTTTGCAAAAACCTCTATTAATGCTTTCCTTAAAATTGAAAAATTCATCGATAAACTTGCTAAAACATCGGACCAGTGCCCAAATATCTCAATGTCCATGCTCAATCTCTCAGAATATTCTTCAGACTTCTAAAATTTATGTCTAAGATCTTTAAAATTCCTTTAGAGCTGAAGAAAAATACTTATCTTGGTGTGTCAATAATTGACAACAGGATGTTTTTGAATGTCTAAAGGAGCGGATTGTTAGCAAACTCTCGAGGTGGAAGAACTTTATTTCTTTAGAAGGTAAATTAATTCCACCAATTGTATAATGCCTAATTTCATTATAAGATATTTCAAAATTCCAAATAATGAGATCAATGAGATTGATAAGGTTCAAAGGGATTTTATTTGTTGCAATCCAAATGAAAGAACTTCATCTTTTAAATTGGAAGAGTGTTTGCTCTTCTTTGACGTTAAAAATCTTTGATGAATTAATAAGGGTTGTCTTGCAAAGCTAGGTTGAAGGTTCTTATTGATGATGATAATTTGTGGGTCAAAGTTGTCACTTGCAAATACTTAAGCGAAATTGCCTTTTGGAAAGCTAAAGCAATTAAGAGTATCTCCTGGGCTTGGGTAGGTATTCTTTCTTCTCATGAACAATTAAGAGCGGTATTGGATGCAACATTGGTAATGGGAAAAGTGTAAAATTCTGGATTGATAGCTGGGCAAGAAAATTTCCACTCATTGATGACATTATTGATCAAGATCTGATTGATAATAAAATTCTTGTTTGTAATGTCATTGAAGAAAGCAATATGTGGAAGGAAAATCAGATTTGATCCTTCGTTGCTATTTTGTCTTGGCATAAAATTGAACCTATTTTACTTTCTTTAATCTTTGTTGAGGATAAGATGGTATGGAGCATGGTTTTTAGAACTGGACGGTTGGACCGGAAAATCAGGAACTGGTCATCTGATTGGTTCTGTTTTTCCCCAAAATTGTTGATTTTGGTCAGTAAATCACTGACCAGCTGATTAACTGTTCGAACCGTTTGAACGGTTTTAACCGTTTTTTAATTTTTTCAAATTTTTATATTTTTTTGTCAGAACAGACTGGCCGTTCAAGTTGAACGATCGAACCATTCGAACCAATAACCAGACCCCTGGCCGGTTCAGTCACCAGTTAGGTTTTAAAAACCATGGTATGGAGGCTCACCCCAAATGGTAGTTTTTCTATTAAGATTGCATATAATGAGGAATGCTAGGTTAATTTGGGTAATCCCTTACCTGATAGGTTGTTAAATAGTGTTTGGAAAAATTGGGTTCCTCCAAAATTACAACATTTTTCTCTTTTCGGTGCTTAGTTATGAATTGCCTACTAAGAAATTGCTTATTAATAGGGGTTTGGACATTGACGACACTTGTAGAATGTTTGGTTATGAAGACTTGAAGAGGATCAATTGTGATTTTGCAAAACAAGTTTGGCTTGCTGTTGGGCCTGACATTTTGGGCCCAGTGAGGACGATTCTTCCATTAGGGATTGCTGGAAAAGATTATCGATTTTGAATTGGGTGGATGATGATTCTCTTAGAAAGGAAATTTGTACAATTATTTTGTGGTATCTTTGAAAAAACAGAAATGAATATTAACATTAATTTTGATTTGGATCCTATTGAGGGTAAATCTTGGTTGCCTATCTTTTGGAGATGCCTTCATATAGGTTCTATTAACATTAATTTTGATGTGGCTATCTTGCAATTTGATCTTGATGGATGGTTGTATAGTAGTAGATCTGTTCAGGGGCCGGGTCGGGTTTTGCATCTTTATCAATAGAAAATGTGTAATCTTAAATTCGAGCCCAAAGCCTGAGCTATACACAAAATGTCTTATTTTTAGTGTATTTTTATAAACTAATATTATATTAATTTAGTAATAAATTAATAAACTAATTTGTATTTCTTAATAGTGAATTAATATTTATTAATAATTTAAGAAACAAATATTATATATACATATATATAATATATTGTATATAACATAAATGCTTTTTTATTATATATAATAGTATCTGGCCGGGCTTATTTGAGAAAGCCCAACCCCGGCCCAAAAAATGACTGTTTCTAGTATTTAAAGCCCAAACCCAATCCCATGGGCCTGAAGTTTTGTCCAAGCCCAAAAAATAATGGGCCGGGCCTTTGGGCTACCCGGCCCATAAACAGATCTAGTATCAGCTTCTCTTCTATAATCTCGCTAAAGACTAGGCTGCACAGGAAACTCAAAATATTGCTCTCAACTTTAGAGAAAATCCAATTATCTTCTAAGGTGATTTGAAGCTTGGCGTTAACTGTTTATGCTTGGAGGCTGAAGAACATCATTGCTCATTGATGAGTGTCTGTGATTGTGAGTGAATTCTTTGCTGGATCATGGAATTGTCTATCAACATTCTTATCAGGAGGCCAATCAAGGTGCACAAGACTGGCGTGTATAGAACTTTGTGATTGTTCTGTAAATATTAATAACTTGTCTTGGCCTCTTAGTTTTATTTGCGCCAGGCTGCATTTGGAAGCGGTGTAAATAAAGATTTATACTGACTTTAACAACGGTCAGCTTTGTGAGTGTAAAAAGCGAACCGGCTTTTATACTTAATTACAGTCTAGTACGTTTGGAAGATTGATATAAAGGTAGTGTCACGTTTTTGTATGGAGAATACCAACGATTCATAGCTCAATTCCTCTCTTCTTTATTTCAGTCGCAGCAACCAAAGTTTTTAAAACTGATCCGGAGAACGAATCCATGAGGGCACTGTTTTCTGGTTTGGCGGTTCAATCGTTTGGGTTAAATGGTTTGACCCATGATGTTATAAATAAATAAAAAATATTTATATATAATAAAAAATAGCAAAGAACTCTCTCCCCTTTAAAAAGAGTCATGATTGCGACCTTGGCGGTGTTGAGCCAAGTTTTGATCTTAAGGTCTAAGACATCCCAATCCATCTTTTGGATGCGAGAGGAGGTGAGCTTCTCGATTCCGAGACGGTAGAGACCTTCGTCGATGATTGATTTTCTGATGATCTTATAGATCTTCACACACTCTTTACCGTAGCCTGAGGAAATCAAGCAATCAGCGATGGACTTGAGATCTGACATTGCGAGCATGGAAGCTTGCTCGACCTCGGAGATAGAGTGAGCGACAACATGGACGTCGTCTTCATAAGTGTCATCGTAGTCGGACGTGTTGGATCGATCTTGCGGAGGCGGAGACGAGGGAGGAACGACCGGAGATGGATTTGGGATCGAGATGATCACAATTGGCGAAGAGAATTGAAGGGATGAGGGATCCATCATATGGATGGCCGAACCCTGCAGGAAGGTTGGGCGAAATTTCAAAAATTTCTCTCTCTCCCATGTGGGAATCGCATTCCCTATTTTAGAAAACTGCATTTTCAATGATCAATCTTGAAACCAAAATAGACCAGATCTTGAACCAAAAAGGAGTAGAGGGATATACCTGATACGGAGTAATAGTAAACCCCCAATGAAGGTGTTCACACCCAAGGAGAAGACCAAAGACTGCTTCCATCGAAAATGACATGGTGTGAGGTGAAGTAGAATCAACAGAATGGTTCTTCAACAAGAACCGAATTCTTCAACAAGAATATGATGAAGGGCTGGTGAGCACGACTTCAGATTGCCTTTTCCAACAAAAGGCAATATCAAGAACCGTTCTTGATCACTCCCACTGGTGGAGATCGAACTAGGTAAGGTGGCAAGAACAAGAAAGAATAAGATCGAATAAGGCGGCAAAACAGCCAAACTGTGTTGCCTCTCTCCATAATTCAGCATACTGTTAGATGATATGGAGGTTCACCCTGCTCTTCTATTTATAGCCTTAAAGAGAGGTTCTCATAATCCTATTAGGAGTTTCCAAATCCAAATCTCATATTTGGATCTGTACTCTCTTTAATAGATAAGGATAATCCCTTATCTTATCTATAGATGAAGATCAGCCTTCCTAATCAAATTAGGAGTTTCCTGATCCAAATTTTTATTTGGATTTAGACTCTTTGAGTGGATAGGGATAATCCCTT